TGAATGAATGCTCTCTACTGATATGAATGAATGTATTCTACGGATATAAATTAATGTTCTCTACTGATATGAATGAATGTACTCTACTGATATGAATGAATGTTCTCTACTGATATGAATGAATGTTCTCTACTTTAAACGGGCCGCATAGGAAACAATTCCTTTTTTTGTGCATTGTCATGCGACAGCCGAACTGCTGCAAAAGGCATGGGTGTGAACAGGGAGCAACAATCTCAATGAAGCTTCTAGTGTTTAAATGATTTCAAAAGTCATTTTTAATCATTAAAATAATTCCTGATTATCCTGCCATAAAGGTCCTTGTTCAGGCACTTTCTGCTACAGGGTGACAACACTATATGCCTGTTTTCCAATTCTGCTTCCGCGTTGTCACCCTGTCACATGGGCTTCTGATGGTGGCAATTGACATTGAAGAGCATTGTTCCACCATTGTCACTGCAGCAAACATGCCCTGAGAAACCACATGTAGACAGGAAGTGACTGTAAACAGGCTACAGGAGATCAAATGTGCTGATATGAAACCAAAACACCCAAAAAATGATGGTGTATTTTATTGGAAAAAATAACTCAGTTGTGTGCGATACACAGTGATTTCATGTAAGGCTTCCAGATACATCTGAATACAAATAGTATTCAGACAGACAAGCGAGCTGATATTGCCGCGTACTGCAACGGGTTAATTCTTTTCAGATTACCAACACTGCGCTTCACTGTTCGCTCCGCCCGCTCCTCCCGGTTGCTAAGCAGGCTAACGCCGCCGTCGTCTAGGTGATGCGATCTGCGCGCATGCGCAGTGACTATGTGGCCCTGTGTCATGGCGGCTACGCATAGTGTTAGCTGTCCCCGGTGTCTGCCATGGTAACGGAACGCGGAGACTGAGGATACGTGCGGAGCCATGCAGCAAGAGAGGGTATGGTACAGGGACTCAGAGGCTAGCGGTTGTCTATGGCATTTAGCCTGTATTTAGATAGGCCTGCCTGGGATTTGTAGTTCTATGACAGCCTGCCTCACTGCCGAGCTGCACTAAAAAGTCTTTATTTTCTTTATCATATTGTGCAGGACTTTAGAGGGGGGGTCACTCTACCCAGGTGACAACGAGTTCTCTCTAATAACAGTCCCATGTGTGTGCAGACATGCTGCTGGTTTCAGGTATTGGGGACCCTGCAGAGACCTGAGACATGTCTGCACATGGGTAAGATCCTCTGTGAGTATCACAGACATGCCTCAGGTTTTGGAAGGAGTATAGAGGGATTAGAACACCTGCCAGGTTATTATTGCTATCAGTGTCCCCGTTAAGGGGCCCATACACCTTGCCATTATCGTTTGGAAATCGAACGCGATCGGGTTTTCGTGCGATAATCGGCCAATTGATGGGAAGCAAACAATCACAATTACTGTACAACTGGCCTAATTTCCTCTATTAGTCAGGCTGGACAACTTTTTTCGAATCGTACTAAAATCGATGAATTAGTGGTGTTTTCACAGCAAGAACACTGCACATGCGCAAACAAAAATCCCTTTCATCGATCGTTGAAATTTGGTGAGTTAGTATTACTCACAAAAAAATGATCGAAATGACATTGCGCATGATGGGGTATTCGAGCTAGAATCGAATGACGGTTCGATGACGGAACGATAATCGCAGAGTGTATGGCCAGCTTTAGGGAGATTCCACCCCTTGATTTGCCCTGATGGCCGTTATCATCAAAAGTGAAAGAAAATCATCAGAACTGGAATAGATGGGAAGTCTTCCAATGGGGACACTAGTCCTGCTGACCACCAGGGATTTTTTTTCTCACTTCCTGTTGTGGCTATTGCACAGGAAGTAAAGGGAAATTTCCCCATTGAGACACAGATGGCAAAACAAGCTAACAGGTTACTAACCCTCCCTGGCTTCAGTTTTACTTTAATCCTGCCATGTCATCTCACTGTAAGGACTAGTTCACACCAAGCGCAGAGCAGTTACAGAACGCATCAAAAATGCATCCAATGTATTCCAAAGGTATTTTGGGCTCTAGTTCACACAAGAGCGTTCAGTTCCAGAGCATGTGGAAAAACTGCAGCATGCCCTATTTGTTCTGCTGTGGAACGCACCAAAACGCATGCACACACATAAACGCATGTACACATGCTGGAACGCACTTAAAGCCCATTTTCGGCTATATATATACACACACACACACACACACACACACACACAGTGGCCAGATTATTATGACCACGCCATCAGTACTTCGTCGGGCCACGAGATGATGAAAGGTGATGCGAGGAATCTGACACTGCACTGTTGCCCTTCTGTTGTCTTGTACCAGTCTTGCCCCTCCCCCGTTCTGCCCTAACATTGACTAGTCACTGACGGCCACAATTCGCACGTTCAGACCCAGATTTTCGGCTGACAGTCCAGTCTTTTAACACTTTAACAATGAGCCCCTCTTGAACATTTAACGAATTTGCTGTTTTGCTGATACTCGCTCCATGGCTCCACGCCAACAATCGTCCCGCGTTCAAAGGCTGTTAAATCGCGGTTTCCCCCGTATCTTCAGAAAAAAATCACTCCTACTGTCGTGGTAAACAACCTGTTTCCCTATTTATAATGGTCTGGCCCTCTAGCAACTTTAGCGCAAAATTATAGCTAATTAGCCTACAAACGTCAGGTGGTCATAAAAAAATCTGGCCACCCAGTATGTATATGTGTGTGTGTATATATATATATATATATAGCCCAGAACACGGCAGAACACACTGCACTGCATGTGCAGAAACTCATGCAGATTTGGTGTGAAGAAGCCCTAAAATCTTGGGAGTCACCCTGTTTATCACCCCCTCTCCCTGCATGATGCACACATCTCCCTCGTTGTTCCTCTCATTCACCGGAGACCTGACCAGCGCTCTTCCCTGCAGTTGCTGGGTGCTTTGTATATGACTTGGCACTTCTCATGTGTCAGATACAGAAAATGATAATATGAAATCACCTGCACTTCCTGCAGCGTACAGAACTTGAGTAAGAGGTTGGCGCTTGAAGTGACAACACGGATGGCGCCGTGTCAGATACAGTCCATAATAGAAGTCACCAGCACTCGATGATGTGTGCAAGAAGCATAAGCACTTTTTATTCAATTGTCACATGCGTCATACAGCCAACGTTTCGGGGCCATGCAGAGTCCCTTCTTCTGGGCTACATAGTGACCTAATAAAAGATACAGAAAATGTTTGTTTTGTTTTGGTTACTGCTTGATAACATTTCTATATGGACTCTGCACAGTACTCAGCATTATGTTATGCACAAGGGATATGAGTTGTTTTCTTTCCCTGTAAGGTTGAGTTCAGATGGCTGTAGTCTCCGCTGACCTCTGAAAAGCGACCGATAGAGGGTGTAGGGGCAGCGGCTGCTTGGTGTTCAGGAGGCAATACTGCTGCCTCCTTAATGCAAGGTCTTTTTTTTATCCCAATGGAATTTACTATGGAAGTACTGCGCCAGAACTGTATACCCATGTGGTTGCAGCGCAGCTGTCTCATTCATTTAAATGGCGTGTTTGACAAGGTGCAAACCACACTGTCTGTGTGAACGAGGCCTAAATGTGACACAGTACTTTTTAAGCCACGCCTCTTACCTAGTTTAGTCACACCCAGTTTTTGAGACAATGAATTACCATTTTTATCACACTATAAACTATTTTCCTGGATTGACATCTGTGGTTAAGCGCGCATACACACTCTGAGACCAGTTTCTTCTTGAGAGTGCTGGACTACTCTAGAAGGTTGTGTTGTGGTGTGTGTAGGTCTGTAGGCAACTCTCAAGTCTTAAAGAAGAACTCCAGACAAAACTTTTCCTAACCCTAGCAGTGGGGCTACCCCTGCACTGCAAGGGTTAACTGCTCGTTTTTGTCTAGGTGCTCAAAAAAAAGTTAATCTCACCCAAACCGCTGAGCCGGCTCACTGCTTCTCCGAACACTGAAGCCTCTTTCCTCCTAAGCTGCAGAATTGGAATGTTCCTCGGCATCCTCACGTCTATACACAAGGGGGGATTTATCAAAACTAGAGCAGACAGAATCTGGAGCAGTTGCCCAGGGCAACCAATTAGCTTCTCTCATCTGTTTGTTCAGTTAAGATTTGAAAATGAAAGCTGATTGATTGCAGTGCACAGCTGCTCCAGATGTCTCTGCTCCAGTTTAGATAAATCCCCCTCACAGTGTATATATGTAATGATTTGTGGCACCTTTAGACTGCTGCAGCGTAGGGGGAGAGAGGCTGGAAGGAACAGTCTAAAGGTGGCCATACACTCTACAACCATCGCAAGACTTAAGTCTTGCGATGGTTGTAAAGGGATTAAAAAAACGTACGATCTGCCTATCTTGGACAGGCAGATCGTACTCTCGATCATCGCAAGCCCACCCCCCTGAGGGGCGGGCTTCCGATGACCGCAATGCTGAACGGGCAGTGTGCGCGTGCGCACACCGGCCCGTTCAGCATTTATCTTCCGAGCACCGTTCTAACCAGCCGAGAATCGTACGATTCCCGGCTGGTTTTCGAACATGCTGGTTCGACAGAAGACGTGCGACCGTACAGTAGAAACGGTCGCACGTCTCCGTTCACACTGCTCGATTATCGTACGAAAAACCGATCGCATACGATTATCGTACGATAATCGTGCAGTGTATGGGCACCTTAAGAGCAAGCCGGCTCTGTGGTTCAGGTGAGTATAACTTCTTGTATAGGCCCTTGACAAAAATGCAGTTAACCCTTGCAATGTTGGGGTGTCTTTGGGTGCAAGGGTTAAAGGAGAACTATGACGTGAGTGCTTTTCACTCACCTCATAGTTCTAGCCGACCTGTGACAATGAGACTGTCACAGGTCAGCACAGTAGATCGCGAAGTGAGTAAACACATACCGGCGTTCGCTCACCTCTCGATCCCGTCACGGCTCTCTGCCGTGACAGGGGAGGGGCTGGATTCCCAGCTCCGATCCTCCAGCGCTGACTGGCGGAACAGACGGTGGAGGGGGCGGGTACAGCTGGCTCTCACGTGGATCCAGACATAATTGTCGGGATCCGCTTCAGCTGCGGCGTCTCAGTATACTGCAAGCTGTAGCTCACGGTATACTGAGCTTAGGGTGACGGGAGGGCGCTAGTTTGTGTCCTCCCGTTACCCTAAGGAGAACTATGGGGAAAAGCCCTAACCCCATAGTTCTCCTTTTAATGTTTTGCCCATAGTCCTTCTTTAAGGCTATCGTCACACTGACCTCCGGTGTTTGGTTTATTTAAAGCTAAAGTCTATTTAAAAGTTTTGTGGGGGCATTCAGCACTAATAATAATAATGTGATTCCAGTGGCGCGAGTCCCACATAGTGCAATAATCCCCCTCTCAGTGATGATGTAAACTCCCCACAGCCTTGATTTTCCGGCGCTGGAAGCATGAGAGACAACAGCTGCTATTGTGAAGGATTGCACTATTCGCTCTCCCCTTCCTGTCTTCTCACCAGTTCCCAAAAATCCCTAGTATTATTTTGCCAGAATGCATTGCGCTCATATCCGCCCAATTCACAGATTCTGGCAAAATAATGCAAGGCGTATTGTGAATAGCCGATGGTTGTTCTGTCATTCATCCACCCCTGGCTCGTTCACAGGTTTTGTTGTATTCTGGGAAAATAAAGCAAGGCGTACTGTGAATAGCAAAGGGTTGTCCTTTCATTCATCCACCCCTGGCCCATTAACAGATTGTGTTGCATTCTGGAAAAGTAATACTAGAGGTTTTGTGAATGGGCGCTGAGACTGGAACGGGAGGGTGAATGATGCATTCCTTCACAGAAGCAAGGTAATAAAAAATCATTACAGATATATTTATATGTTTAGCAATCTCCTATAAACACATGTATGTCATTGCTAGTGTGAATGTGACCTAAGGAGACTATGATGCATTCCTTACTGAATCAGTAAGAGAGGATAGGGAATAAAAGCATCACTCCACAGGAATGCGTCGGGGGGGTGGGGGGGGGATGGTGTCAGCAGGAATTATGCAGAAAGAAGCCACCTCTGTACTGTATGTCTGCCTCCTATAGGCCCGCACCTACTGAGCCTTATGGTAAACCCTGATCCTAGAAGATGACTATTACTTGCTGAGTTAGGTGACATTCCTTGTGTTTCATACACATTTATATTCTGTGTGTTACCTAGTAATGTCTCATGACCTGAACTTGTTAGAATTCACTAATTTCTCTGATCATCATTTTTAATTTCTACGAGCGTCTTATAATTGGAATGCTGTCAGAGTCTCACTTTGTGCCATATTCAAAAGATTAGGATAATGCTTCCTTCTAATAACATGCCAGCAACAAATGCTTTCATATGGTGCACAGCAGGTAGATCTGATTACCCATATTAGGTTTATTCTAATATAATTCTGCTTCTTTGTGCAACTCCCTTACATAAACTAAAGAAAAGGGATGTTACATCATGTGGCTCATTGATGTCTGTCACATATTTCTTTCAAAGTGGGACACTTTTTCAAGTGTAGATACAGTGTGATGGTTGACTAATAGATGATAGACTTCTAAAACAGGTGTATGAGAAGCCTGTACAGGGAAGCTGCCATTCTCTGATTTTGGAACCACATACTAGTTAAAGTAAACCTATCATGAAAGAAAAATGGGGGGGGGAGGGGGAATGCGTCATTACTGGCCTCCTTCTGCAAAATGCCAGTTTTCTGGCTGCTTTGCTGAGTCGCTGTCTTCAATACATTCAGAGTTTCTAACCTGAGATTTGTATGCCTGTCAGGAAAATAAAAAGTCATAAATCCTCATCTATCTGATAAGCATTGCTCTGGTATGCCCATTAAGAATCCTCTAGGCACCATTATGCTGAGCCAGAAAGCAGTATTGCTAAACCAGGAACTACCAAAGTGACATTAGTGCTGTGTAGGATGTAAACCCTGTGCACATGTTCATCATCAGTGGCCACACAATGACCAAAGAGGACTTCCAAAAACCTGGAAGTGGCGATGGGGGACCGAACATTGATCTCACAGCGCTGGAGAAGGGCACACTTGTAAGGTAAGTGCATCCTAATGTGCAAGTATGCTGCGCATACTTGCCAAACGGGCAAAAATGTGGTGCATCCCTAGCTTCTCTCCACCACTCGGTGCCCCTGCCTGTCCTCCCTCTGCCTGTGTCGGCAGAGGAAGCAGGGATCGGAGGGGACACATAGCCGATCCAGCTGCCGGCGCCCAGCAGGTAGTAGAGAATCTGTCAGGAGGCTGAGCGGGGCAGTGTGGGCGGAGAGCTCGGTCTCCTCCTGTGGCAGGCGGAGCAGTCAGGATGAAGAGCAGACCACAAACACTCAGCTTTCAGTACTCATCGCTGAGTGATTGTAAATAACTAACTAAGGACATAGTATGCTTGCTGTGTTTCCAGTTATGAACAAACAGGAAGTGCTCTAAATCACTTCCTGTTCATTCATGATTGTGGACATAGTATCAGTTACTATCTCCTCAGTTTATGAATGGACAGGAGCACTCAGCATAGAGGATTCCTGTTGATTCATAACTCGGGCTGCAGAATAAGCGATTTAGGACTCTGTGTCCTCAATCTATTTTTCTATTTTAAAAGGGAAGTCTAAACAGACTCTTGATATTTCCCCAAAGCCCATAACAAAAAAATAATCTAAGAACGTTTTAAAAAGTTGGAAAAAAAAAGTAATTTTCAGTTTCGCCCTGACAAATTTTTTTATGATGGGTTTGGTCTAAAAATGTCATTTTGGTGAATCCCTACTTTTAATAATACCTCTATGCATTAGAAAGAAAACAATACATTGATACACTGTTTGCACATTTTGTGAGATAAAATGCATCATTGCCTACAATTTTAACCCAATAAAGTTGGTGACATTGACATTATAATATTTTACAACAGGAAAAATGCATTTGTGTTTGAATGCAGATACTGTGTATGGGCAATGGCCCCAATGGGTTTCCTTCTGCCGGTGCCAGGAGGATAAGCTGCTCATGTCTGTTCATTCGCTAAAGCTGAGAATCACTTACTGTAAGCATAATCTCCTAGATGGCAGACTGTTGTCTGTATCCTGTCCGTGTAGCTGCGTCACTGTTATGAGAACAGCTGCTTATATGAAATGAAACCCTTTGCTGAGTAATATCCAAAAACCGACAAGGGTTCTGCAGGATTTGTAGTTTATGGGAGGGAAGTATTCATAATTGGTTAGAGTATGTGGATCAAATTCAAATTTCAGAGCATCACATCCCATAATGAAAATGTTATAACTTAGCGGCATTTACCAGCTATGACTTATCAGCTGCTACATCAATACAACACTCCAATATATAGAAACACATTTATATATGCCATGGTATAAAAGTATAACAAAATTTAAATTGTAACATTATTGTTTGGAGTGGATGTAAAGTTTAGACTCCGTATGGCAGAAGAGACTGTAAGTTTCTTTTTCCTTCTAGCTTCTCTGTACGCTGAGCCGTGCATACGCAGCTCCGTGCACAGACCCGGTATGCCGAGATGAAGTAACTCCCATGCACACGTGTGGGGTTTATGTCATTGGGGCTTGGCCAATCGGCTGAAGAATCGGAACTCGGATAACCGCTGCGCTAGAGGGGATCAGCTTTAATAAGACATTATTTGTACCCATAATGTCCCATATAATTTGTCTTTTCTGTGACTTGTTATATTTCTCCGGGATGTTGGTATATCATTTAAAGGGAAAAATACTATAGAGTACAGGCAGTCCCCGAGTTACAAACATCCGACTTGCATACCAACCCTACTTACAAACGGAGACTATTACTGTACAGCAGGGGGGTCTTAGGCTGCAGCCAAAGTATACCGCGCAGCGTTCAATTAGTTGTACTGCTACTGCGCTTGTGCTGACGAGGAGTGCCCGTCTTTTTGGATTTATAGCACTGTACGTACATTATAGGAAGTTGGCTCTTGTACGACGTGCAGACAGGAGGTGCCCTTCTCTTCTTCCGGGTCACTGTGGGTTTTTACTAGGGGTGCACCGATACCGGTAATTCGGTGTCGAGTACTGATAAATTTTCTCGGTACTCGCCGATACCGAATACTGAGTACCGGAAGTCCCATTCAGGAAGCTGGCTCCATGCTCCCTCGTCATGAGGTGACGAGGGAGCATGAAGCTGGCTTCCCGACCAATCAGAAAGCCGGGCGCCACGTTATTTCACCGTGCCTGGCTTCCTGATTGGCCTGAAAGTCATGAGGTGACGAGGGAGCATGAAGCTGGCTTCCCGACCAATCAGAAAGGCGGGCGCCACGTTATTACACGGTGCCTGGCTTCCTGATTGGCTGGAAAGGCGGCTCCATGCTCTCTCGTCACAAGTGTAATGACGCGCTGCCCGGCTTCCTGATACCGGAAGTAACGGGCTAGGCAACGGAGCATTTGGGCGAGGACGAGTACTCGCCCAAATACTCGGGATCGGTACCGACACTGGGATCGGTACCGATACTAGTATCGGTATCTGTGCATCCCTAGTTTTAACTGCTGTCTGTTTCCTCTTTAGGAAGATTTAATCTCACTTCCTGTCCTTGAGACAACAGGAAGTGAGAGGAAATCTACCCCTAGGAAGGGAAATTCACTCCTGTAAGAGTTATCATGGGAAAACGGTGTCTCCACTAAAGCTTTATCACCAATCCTTGTTTCCAATTTTCAAAATCCAATTGTCATAGGGACAGAAAGTGAGGTGAAATCTTCTGAACAGTGGCACATACAGGAACACAAACGCTACAGGGGGTAAACCCTTTGCTGTGCTGTGCGAAACTAAAATACATTTTTGGGCTGGAGTTACACTTAAAAAATGTACCTGTTCCAACTTGCATACAAATTCAACCTACAGTCCCTATCTTGTTCGTAACCTGCGGACTGCCTGTATATATTTGAATATATCTGGTTGTTATTTACCCTTGTTGTATTTTTTTTTCCTTTAGCATAAAACAAAGGAGGACACCTGGAAGTCCGAGGAGCTGAAAAAGCACTTGAAGGTTATGTAGACTTGTCTTCTCTATGTGGCATTAGATTTGTCTTATCATGGCTATCCACTTTAGACTGCCATTGATTTACATTTACTCCTCACTGTTCTGGAAATTTGCTGTATTCAGCGTGAAAACCAATGGCCGCTGGTGAAGCATGACATTATCAGCAGAGCCTGACTGTGTGGAAAGCTGTAACCTAGGAGATGGCAAAGGACCGAATATTACTTATAAAATGTCATAAATCTGTGACAATGCAGTGATTTCAGGCCAGAAATAGCTAGACTTCCAATTTATTAGTCTGTTGTCTGTCAGCTTGGAGCACTATGACACGTCTAGTTTAGACAGCTACTTGCTCTGGGACTTCCTATGTTTGTGCTAAATCAATGGGCTTTTATAATAATGAAAACTGTCGGAGGAGGAGGTCTAGTTGTTCAATAACTTAATTAAAAATTGTTTCTGACCTAGTTTGGAACACACTGTATTGTTGAGTTGCTGACCTGACAATGAGACAGGAGCCCTTATGCAGCCCAGTACCTGACACTGATCAAATAGTTTTGTCTGTGATCACATAGCTCACTGCATTGTGTTAATGGACAGCGCATCATATATAGGGCCGAATAAGGGAATCTTGTGGTGCATCATTTGAGCTTAATTTCTTAGCTACCTGGATGTAGGGTTGACCAAAATGATTGCATATGTTAATGGAAGTTGGTACCACTCATGCACCGTAAAAATATAAAAGCGCCAAAAAAACCTGAAATGATATTAAGGCCATTGTGTATAAAATGGTGCTTAGTTGTATTTTTTATTTAAAATGTAAAGTTCACCTTTTTAAAAATAATAATAAATGCACACTTCTTCATAAAAGAAAAAAATGTGCATTCGTTGTTTTTTGGTAAACTAGTAAAGCACTGCAACTGCAATCAATGGACCGCAGTGCTCCGGCTCCTGCAGATTCTCCCTCCTGTTCCATTCTGTAATTCAGTAGCAAGGACTAGAGGATGAATGAATGGACCACAAGATCATGAAGTGCAAAACTTGGTTCAGGCATTGAGGTTTGTTTTACCTTCATTGTTAGGGGTTAAGTTTTCCATATTCTGGCAGAAAGTGGAAAACCTACTCGCATGCCCACATGTTAGTGATTGGTGGTAGTCCGCTTGCTTGGAACCTGTTTAAGTAGTGCTTCTAGTCATCACTGAGGCCACCGCCCCTGGAGGACATATTCAGCTTTTTCCTGAATATGTCCTCCAGCCAGAAGGCTGGTGAAAGGGATTAAGTGCATTTCTGAGGCTAGACTCCATTAGGGCCTGGCAGAAAAACACTCTCCTTTTTCCACGGTATCATTCCCTTGCTGACGAGGGAGATTTTTCAGCGCTTTCTTCAGCAAAGTAGTGACACCTTGCTGTTACAGCCAGTGAGTTAGCGCTCCAGGTGGGTCCACTCTTGTCTGGTGCGGATATCTGGGTGCAAGTTGAGCACCGCCCAACATTTTCCTCTCTGAAGACATGCACGTGCCACTCACTGGAGCTTATAGCATAAATGTTTTTTTTCTGTACTTAAGCGGGGTACATATAGGAATACTGACAAAGTTTCTCTGCCCTGTCTGGAGAGGAGAACCTTCGCCATTGACAGGACAGCCGTTGAGACATGGACCTTACTCTGAAGAAGCTCCAATAACTGGTAGCTTTGGAGCTCCTAGGCAGTCATTACAGAAGTTGGTTGGTGGGGCTGGGAGGCCTGCCACCAGTCAACAGCAAGGTTGCGTAAGAACTGATTATCTCTTTGGTGTTTCTTTTTCCCCCAGTTGTAGACGCCCCTGTACTGAAGGTAAATATAAGGTCCAAGCTGGTGTGTCGTAATCTCTAAGCAACAGCATAGGACAAGATGGCACTAATCTAATTACATTGGCTGTCCGCAGTGGCTTGCTGTATAGACAGTTTGTAACTTTGGGGCATTTAGAGCTGGAAGGGTAATATATTTGTGCTGTCAAACAGCCATTGTTTTATTTAGAACTATTACATACTGCTTAGGTTCGGATTGTTGCAAATAAGATACATGACGTGCTGGATTTTTATGTTTCTAGGAGACTCTACCGGTAAAGGCCAAGGCTATAAAGAATACAAATAATAGTCAATAGTAATAGTTTTCTATTTGCTCACCTCATTATTGACAATGAGCTTCCATTATTCCTATGCCTTGCTTGTATATTTGTATTATTGTTACTGTGCTTGTTAACTCTGACATGCTGTCTTATTTAGGCTATGCAGTCTGAACCTTCTAATGAAAAAAGACATAAAGAAAGGCGACATCACAAAGAGGAAGATCGAGATGAGCATGCAGACCGCAAACACAAGTCTGATCGGAAAGAAAAAAGAGACAGACACGATGAGAGTGATAGGCAATCAGAAAGAAGAGAAAGACAAGGCAATCCTGAGAAAGAGAGGGGAGAGAGACACGGCTCTGGTGACATAGAGAGGGGGGAGAGAGACAAATATACTGAGAGTGACAGAAATGCCGACAGAGAGAAGGACAGAGTTCGAGAGCGTCGCAGAGAAAAAGAAAAGAGAGACACAGAAAAACACCACATATCTGAAAGGCACAGAACCGGGGAGAGAGAAAAAACCAAAGAGAAAGCATACAGAGGGGAAAATTCTTCTAAAGAACATGTGACATCTGAGCTGAGCAGGGAAGAGAGGATGGCAAGAGAGAGTCTGGGTAAGTTAACGTGCCTGTAGACGCTAAAGTTGGCCATACACATTACATTGAAATTTTACAATCTCCTTTTACTCTGTTAACAGTTTCGTGCAAAAATCCACCTGATTTAGATGCAAATTCAACACATTTTTTTAGGTCGACCCTCATGGTACATAGTTTTCTAGAGGAGCTTGTGCCGAGAAGAATGAGGCAAATTACTTTGTATAGCTCTATGTATATGGGAATTTGTGCTCCACGTTCACCCATCTACTTTGATCCTATCACACTCTGAGATACGAAGAAGAAGCCAAAAATAATAAAAATAAATCTAAGTACAAAGCATGTTAAATCACCTTGTATATTATTCCTAGAAAAAAGCAAACACAGAAGTGATGATCGGGAAAGGCGGCATCTAGAAAAACAAGAAAAAGAAAAGAAGAAGCAAGAGGTAAACATTTGATTTTATAATTTTATTTTTGTATTATTTCTAACCCTTTTGATCCTTGTTAAAGTGTATAAGATGACAAGGCATATATCGCATTCTTTTAGTAAGCCACATTGCAACTGCTAAAGGCGTGTCTGGTTCCTGCTGTCAATTAGTGCTTCCCAGTGGTGCGGGGCAAAAACCCTTCCTTGGCTCCACTGTGTGATAATAAGAGGAAGAGCCTGTACACACCAATCCAGGGTTGATTATTGTAAATCTCCAGATACATGCATGTAAAAAGACTGGTTATGCTCTAGGGAAAACATTCCTTGACTACAGATAGAAACAAATCCATTGATGAACTCCATTACTGGAATATATAGAAGAACCCCAGAGGATTCAATAAATGCACTGTAAGTATAAATAAAAAACACTGAAATCTGTTATCATCCAGCAAAGCCGAGAATAAAGGTGACAATAAAATGTATGAAACTTCCCTTACTCCAATGTATCATTGGAGGTAGCCTTGGTTGTCACCCATCTGGGTTCAGACCGGAACTAAGGGAAAGATGTATATTTATGCTGCTGGGGAGGGGGTTTTAAAGTTAAACGAGTATGGGCAAAGCACAGTTTCATGTTAAATCTACACATATTTATAATACGAATTGTCTGTTTCAAGAATGAAGAACACAAAGATCAAGATACCAGACAGCGGAAGCACAAAGAAGATTTAACCAGTAGAGATCCTGAGAAGGAGAGGAGGAGAAGCGATCGGAAACACAGTGGGGAGCCTGATAGTGATAAAAGGCATCATAGCTGGCGTGAAAAGGAGATGACAGGCAACACAGAGGTGGGGTCTGCTGAAGACTCTGTGCAAAATATGGACAGGCGGAAAGAGAAGCATTCTAATGAGAGACAGTTACAGAGGGAAGACCGAGAAAGAAGACACAGAGAAAAGAGAGAGCAAAAAGCACATGAAAAAAAGAATGCAGAGGTACAGTGTGCCAGTGCATCTACGACAGATAATCTGTCACACATATTCTCATTTATAGGGTTTTGGTAAAGATTGACCAAAAAGATTCACATATGTTAATCTCTCTTAATGAGTAACTCATTTGTTGAGGGAAAAAAAATAATTGATCTCTGGGTGAACAGACTCCTACCTGTTTCTGTTTTGAAGAAATAGGTGTTTGTTGCAGCATGTCTTCTCCAAACTGATTCCTGAGTGGGAGGGTCTGGTTTCATGATAACCAGCTGGTGGGCTTCCTATGCTATAATATGGAAAGGTTCAGTGTCGGCATCCCTTTAGTAATAATTAACCCTTAGGGAGTATCTCACCAAAAATGGAATTCATATTGCAAGGGATGCCGAAACTGGTATCTTAGTGCAAACATCTAGTCAGCCAATCACAGAAGCAGAAAGTGACATTCTGGTGGAGTTCTGTATACCAACTGTGTGTGGAAGGTCTGCAGGCCGTAACATAGAACATTACAGCAGTTACAGTTTTCAATGAAAAGGTCATTTTTAACAATAAAATACAAAATGGCTTGTGTGACAGTTGTATATGCTATATTTTTTCATGTTTTTATTTTTAAAGCATCGTTACCCTTTATCCACTTGAGCATCTGCTTTTAATACCCCTTTACTGCCAGGCAATTTTTCAGTTTCTGTCGCTGTGAGAGTTTAGGTGTCCATACACTGCACGATTATCGTACGATAATCGTGGGAAATCCCGCGATTGTACGCTAATCGCAAAGTGTATGGAAGGCGTGCGACCGTTTCTACTGTACGGTCGCCCGTCTTCCGTCGAACAAGCAGGCTGGAAAACCCGCCGGCAATCATACGATTCTCGGCGAGTTAGTGGCCTGCTTGTTCGACAAC